ATTCCTGCTAACTTCTCCCGCTTTGTAACCAACCTCCCTGCTTTTCACCGCGTTCTAGTTTTTGTGTGTGTAAAGTCAGTCCCTGTCCCTTATGTTCCGCCTGCTGAGCGCTACCTGGTGGGTCGTGTTGGCCCTGCAGCTCATCGGTCCTATAGGTGCATTGTTCGGTATGGATACCGTGATGTTCATCAGGATGTTGACTCCTTCGAATCAGAACTAGTTGATAGGCTGGCTGATTTCATCCGATATGATTGGTGTCGAACACAGAGAACTAGCTCATGCACTGAGGATGATGCATCAAGGTCTACTGATATGAGTGATTGTAGACTGGCTGTCATTGGAACAGTGGCATTTTCTGGTGCACCAGCTTATGAGATAGAGGAGACTCAACCGGCAAGTGTATCTGTTGGTTTTCCAACTGTAGAAAGTATAAGAGATGTTATTGAGATGGAACCAGTTGAAAGAAGAGTGAGGTTTGCCATTGATGATGACTCTCAGGCTGATAGCCGGACTGAGAATGCCATGCAGATACGTGAAGAGCTTGAGGATCTGTACGCAGCTCAACAAGCTGGGACGGCGTTTATACTTGGGCACTCACATGTTAAAGCAAAGCAAGGTTCATCTATCATGAAGAGATTGGCCATTAACTTTGGGTATAATTTCCTGAGGAAGAATTGCAGGGGGGCAGATGTGGCGCTCAAAGTGCCACCAGTGTCCCTTCTTGAGGTTGGCATGGTTTATGTTGTCTAGACCAGACAGACATGTAATTACCAAATAGTTTTGTCTTTGTTTGCTCACTCCTGCAGCAGAGAGTGGAAAGGGATGTGCTAGGAAGATGATTGTGTAGTTCAAAGAGGTCTGTAGAAAAATGTTACTCTACCACGCCATCTGTCTCACAGATGATGCATTTGGCTAGATTACTACCAGAAAACTGTGAAAATTACAACTTTTTCTTGGGTCGATGTCAGACCTGACTTGTCATGATCTCATGCCATCTTCAGATTTTACTGTAGTCTGGAAACCTAATTATTTAGAACAATCAACCTGCTCTACGCTCGTAAACAATATGATCAATAATGTATGTATAACCTAATTCTATTTGCAAACACGAATCTTGCCTCCTTATACTGAAGTTCAGATTCCATCCCGGGGATTAGAATAGTTTTAGACTATCAATTGTACAAGGGAAAAATAAAACACCGACTCTGTTCAACATGGCATGTGCGCTTGCATCCTAAATGATTTGGATCTGAGGACCTGGATCCAAATCACCCATTTACTAAAATGAGTGATCTGAAAATAAACTCGGTTTTTCACTAGCCATCAGTCTCAGATTCTATAAGATACTTGAGTTCTGGATGAATGACTTTGGAAAAAACCAAATGACTGCTTTGATAAAGGGCCACGTAGTATTATGCTGACCACCAAGCCTAGTGAGTGGCATAAACACCAACAACATACAAGGAGCAAAATTAACTTAATTAATTTTTGCAAAGTAAAGCAGACATGGGAGTTCTAAGAACACTTCCTTTGACCCCTCCACACGGCAAGTTCCCTTCAAATTTTGGAGTTGCAGAGAGTTTATCAAACCGTGGCGGGTTCATCAGCAAGAGCTCTCAGTTTAGGGTCTTAGCCAAAACAGAGAAGGGTGAGAAAGGTGACAAGGAAGAACCCAAGAAAACCAAGCAGTCATTGTTTAGCAGTGTGACAGAAGCACTTGATTTTTCTCAAACCAGGTCTGCAGAGGACGCTCTGCTTATTGAAGATGCTAGAGAGGCCACCAAGTCTGGAGAGAAAATGTCCAGGGAACAGGTATGTTGAAAATTAAAATGCTTTCAAACTAGCTCATTGTTTTAAAAATTTGCTAATTGGGTTTTCTTATTTTCATGCAGTATGGGGCTCTGAGAAGGAAAATTGGAGGAACATACAAGGATTTCTTCAAATCTTATGTTGATGGTATGCAGCAACTTTGAAATTATAGTGTGGTTCAAACTTCAATCCAAACAGTAGCACTCTTTTCTCAGTATTTTGGCTAAATGTTGTAGTGATTTTCCTAACTTTGGTAATTGTTTTTCATTTGGAAATCAGTGGATGGGCAATATGTGGAAGAGGGCTGGGTGGACAAAACGTGCAAGGTTTGCAAGAAAGATACAGGGGGTGAGCCAAGGCAAGTGGACAAACTTGGAAGATATGTTCATGTGGCGTGTATGGAGAAATCGAAATCTGGCAACTTTTTTACCAGACTTTTCTCAGGATGAAGACAGAGAACATGGTGCTTGTATTGTATATCAGATATCCCAGAGCCTAACTGGTGATGCGATGTGATGCCAATTTTAGATACAAAAAATATATAATTCAATGTTGGGTAGAAGACTTGAGAACTTAGCTTGTTTTTCTCTCTTTTTTCTTTTAACTGTAATTGATGAGCATTGAGCAATGAAGTGATCATAGTATGAACTAAAATATGCAGCAGGGCAAATCCATTCAAATTTCGTTTGACCAAGCATTCAAGTAAAAACAAAAACAGATGGAGCTACAATATGATACGATACGATACGAATAGCACGACGTATATTTATGCATCCACTCTTGGATTTAATGTCAGCTTAGGCCATGCATATAATGTTAACTTGGTAACGTGTGATTTAAAGCAATTTGCAAGCAAACCCAGGCCTCAAAACTGTGTTTAAAGATTGTAGGAAACCTTCCCCTTTTTGTTTGTTTAAGTTTCCCTTTTCCCAACAATCCTGGGTTTGATTTTCCTCTGTTAATTAGGAGTCATGTCTATTTTCCTGGTAGAAATGGGGTTTGGTTTAACCTATAAAAGAGCCTAGTTTAGAATTGTATTTTGCAAATTATTCATACCATCAATCAAATCAAGCTTCGAGTTGCAGACGACATCTAAGCTTTATAACAATCTTTGCAATGGCCTGCAACTTTCAATCGCTCTGTCTCATCTTCTCCATCACGCTTTCGGTGCTACTTGGACCAAATTTTGCAGGTGAGTTTATTGTTACAAACTCTTGTAATGTTTATAATTGTTTTCTCTTATAATTAGCCTCGTTTTGCTTGTGTGTTACAAGTTTTATCATACATGTGAACTTAATTTTTTGGTATTCGTTGTCAATATGATTAAGATATTGTTAGATTCTGAAACTAGTAAACCATCTAGACTGTTTTATTATTTTTTTAGAATGAAAATCATATAGACTATATTTAAAGTTAGAAAAAAATACCTCAAATTTCATCGCCAGACTCTATGTTGAAACTTCGATTTTGAAAGTTGTTCTACTAACCAAAGGTACACTTCCTGTAAAAAAAAATAAATTTATTTTTCGGGTCATAAAACTGATTGTTTCTTATTGTTTTGATGAACACTGGCCATTATTTCTTTAAAATTTAACGAAGTACTAGTAGACAGAAATAGTAAATGTGCTAACATGCTTGTATTTCCCTAATTAACAGGCGCTTCTTCAATTGGAGTATGCTATGGAATGGTGGCCAACAACTTGCCACCACCAAGAGAAGTAATTGACATGTACACATCGAATCAAATCGGACGAATGAGACTCTACGATCCAAACCTAGAAGCATTCGAAGCCCTTCGCAATACTGGCATCGAAGTCCTAGTTGGAGTTAGGAATGAGGATCTTCAACAACTTGCAAACTCCTACTCTGCTGCTCAGAACTGGGTAGCAACATACATTACACCTTATTCGCACCAAATCCAATTTCGATACATAGCCGTTGGCAATGAGGTCATCCCAGGAGACTCTGCCCAATATGTCCTCCCAGCAATGGAAAACTTGCAAAATGCATTGGGCAATAGAGGCATCAAGGTCAGCACTTCAATTGCAACATCAGTCTTAGGTGTATCTTACCCTCCCTCAGCTGGAGCCTTTTCTCAAGACACCATGGAGTACATGGCACCTATTGCTCGATACCTCAATAGCATTGGTGCACCCTTATTAGCCAATGTGTACCCTTATTTTGCCTACATTGGAGACACAATTGACATTTCACTGCCTTATGCATTGTTCGTTTCTGGGAAGGTCGTGACAGACGGTCGTCTAATTTATGATAACCTGTTTGACTCCATGGTGGATGCATTACATGCAGCATTGGAGAAAGCAGGGGCGCCCCAAGTCCAAGTAGTGGTGTCCGAGACAGGCTGGCCCTCCCATGGGAATGGGAAGGAGACAACACCGGCCAATGCACAAATCTACAATTCGAACCTGATAAGCCACGTCTTATCGTCCCGTGGAACTCCAAGGCGGCCGGGGAACTCCACTGAGACTTACTTGTTTTCCATGTTTAATGAGAACATGAAGCCTGGTGCAGCAGTGGAGCAACACTGGGGTCTCTTTCATCCCAACAAGTGGCCGGTTTATCCAATCAGTTTCCTGTGAACAAAAATTAAAGAACAAAGCATGGTTTCAGTAATTTATGTGGTTATACAGTTAGGATTTGTTTTTTATTTTCGTAATTAGGATGTAATTTGTCTCTAAAAAATGGAACATTATTAGATTTCTTGTCACCAGCCAATAGTTTGAGTTTATCTAAGTGTTATCCAATTTTGACTCTCTCCTACTTTGATTTTTGGTCTGTTTTTAATGATTTAACAGAAAATTAGATGAAATGTTGATGATTTAGACGGTAATGGAGAAATTAGCGGAAAAATAAAAGTTTATATCCTTAATTTTTTATTTTACAATAAAAGAATATGAGACTGATTGAAACCTAGGTATAAGTTTAGACGCTATTTCATCGGTTAACCCTTTTGATTAATCGAAACATGTCCTCAATCGTTGTAAGGGCATTTTTGACTTTTCGAATTTCATTTGTGCTGTTTAGTTTCCCGCATCCAACGGTCCAAAAGTCATCTGCCACATCTAACGATGCAGAAGTCATTACAGTCTTCTCTTTGTAAGTTGTAAGAAGATGTAGGCAGTGACCTAAATGGCGGGAACAAACAGTGCTTAGCGGGAAAATCCAATTACCTTACTTAAAAGCGCGGGAAGCCGCTCTCAAACGGCACATAGCTGAGAAAGAGAGACTGAGAGTGGAAGAGGGAGAGAGATAGAGGATCATTTGCAATCAGATATGGTGGGATTAGCGTACGACTGCTTGGCGAACCCTCTCGGGGCCGTTCGATCGACGTTCGAGAAAGCCATCGCGTCGGGATCGGACCCCGCCTCCTTCGACGGCCGGGACTGGGGCGCTGTTGATCTCTTCCGTCACTTTCTCTTCGAGGACGATGGTCTCACTCAGGTCCAGACCCTAAGCCTACTTTCAATTGTCATTCCCTTTGATTTGGGCTCATTTGTTGCCCTTGAAAACCCTAAATGTGTATTTTTCTCATTAATCTCTTGTGTTTATCTCGACCTAGATATTATCAAATCTGTTGTTAAAAATTCTTTCCCTTCAAATAGTTTTTTGTGTGATATGTGTTCTCGTTTCATCACTGTTCGGGAAAATTTAGGTGCCAATTCTGAATTCTGCAACTATAAGATGGGTCCAGCCCAACACTCTGGTTCGGTTTCGGGGAATGATACAGGACATGTTGGGAAATGAGTTCTATGTTGGTGCTTATAAGGTATCTTATGACCTCTGATCATTTTCCGGTGACCCAAAATGGGCTAATTTATGTGCCACTAAAACAATGTGTTGTGGCTCTTTTGAAGGATGGCTCGGTTTGGAGAACCAACAAGTTTACAGATGTTCCTCAATTCCCTATGGATACTTCACCGGACATGCGATTATGGGAGCGCCGTATGCTCTACTGCATCCCGGTGAGTTCTCTATACTCAAACTCTTCCTTCTTTTTAGTATATGACATCAGCTTCTGTTCTTAGCACATAACCATATGCTTAGTATTGGTTATTGGTTGTTTGTTGTACTTAAGTTTTCTTTTTGTTAGGGTAAATGACACTCCTTGAATTTCAGAGTGCGTACTACCATATTCAGTTTAGATGTGTGGAATTAAAATTGTGGATTGTTCCGTGATCTGATTCTTCTTGGGTTGTTATCTTGTTTACGTCTTTAGGTGCCAGGACAAAATTCATGGACTGAATCTCCTTCTGAAGCAGTGATGTATAGAAGTATGAATTCGGCAACCCAACAAAGAGAGAAGCGCCAGAGATTGGATGTTGAAGCTACTGATAACATGGATTGCAATGTAATTCCATTCTCATAATCTGCATATTAACTGTTCACTTTAACTCGATTTGCAGTAAAAGGATAATCATGTTTAAGTAGAAAAGGCAAACTGCATTACAATGGTAATTTTCCTTATGGTCATCTTTGTTCTGAGCTCTGAAGCAGCTTAAAACAGTATGTTCTATGGATTTAGGAAGTTTTTTCTTAGCAAAATAAGTAGGAAGCTTTCTGAAGGGGTTTCCTGTTAATTAGATTGTTATAATTTAATTGATAGACTAGGTGCATTCATCATTATTTTGGGCCTCGATGACTTGATGATTTTTTGGGGACTGCACATTTGATTCTCTGAACCTTTAGCTTTGTAAAAATGTCTTCTTGTTTGTCTATCTGACATACTGCATTCAATGACAGGTCTCAGATGAAGGAGTTGAATGCTCTTCTGCAAAAAAGCTGGTAAGTAGAACAAATTTCAGTTTATTTTGCTATTTTATTTTATTAAAAAGCATTATTTTATGATTCTGATGTAATATAAATTTGTCTTTATTAAATTTCTTCTCCTTTTCCAGAAAGAGGATGGACATCTTCAGTCTCAGGAGTCAATTACTGAGGGCACCAGCTCTAGTATGATTATGGGGCCTGATGTCAACAGGGATTCGCTTCCTTGTCTTATTAAGGTACGTTGGTCAATTAGTTGTACCAATAGAAAAATGATGAACTGAGATTTGTTCTCTCTTTTTGTGAAAGCTGATGAAACTCTTTTGGTTATCAGATATATGATTGTCCAGAGTCTGACTTAAAGCTAAATGAGGTTTTTGAGTTTGTTGGAGTCTTCACTTTCGATCCAGAGTTCAAAGTGGACAAGGATGAATGTGATGATTTCACAAATGGTTTCAGTGAAGATGTGTTAGTTCATTTTCCCCCTAATAAGGTAATGGCTGTGTCTTGCATCTACGCAATTGTTGGTCTCCATATATATGAACAAAAGACTAAATCTTGCATTTTTTTTTTTCTCTCTGTACAGCTTGTTTGTTAGTATCTTGTGTTGGACTATAAGTACGTAGCTCACTTAAATACGTTTTCCTTTGGTGCAGGTACCACGTCTCCACTGTTTTATTCACAGGAAACTTGCAGTTCATGACTTCCTACCTCGTTCCCCTACAGTGGAGGTGATTTTGTGATCCTTATAGTCATGTTTCTTCAAACGAAGGACTTATATGCCTACCTGTGTGTATTTACTATTTATGCTAACTTGGTTGTGTTGACAATGCAATTATTATCTGATCTTATAGCCAAAGCCCCACTTGGTTAAAGAGTTCAGGGAAGCTCTCTTGAGACATCTTACAGCTATTCTTGGTAATGATGGTGTAGCTGCTCATTTCATGCTGTTACATCTCTTGTCCACGGTAAATGGTGCCTTCTCATATCAAACTTTTTAGTGTTGGATCCACATGATGTTACTTCTACATTTTTGTTCATCTACATCCCTTCTGAGTCCATTTCTTATCTCAATCTCTTAAATTACCTCTGTCCCTTCCCTCTCTTCATCTCCTGTACTTATGAGGTATATGATTTATTATGGTTTTGACAGGTATATTCTAGAGTTGAAACTGTTGCTGTCGGGAAGCTTTCACTGAATCTCACTTGTTTTAGCAAAGAAAGTGTACCTGTGTTTGGCACTCCACTTCGCCTTGCTATGAAGAATCTTTTACCATTCACACAATGTATATCCCTAACAGTTGATTATCTCAACACTGCTTCTCTCGCACCAAGAAAGGATTATGAGACGAACAGGTAATCAGATTTCTAATTCCTTAACCAAGTATAATTTTCCTTTCAGTAGTAATTTATCAATTTTGTTATAGTTTTAACCCTTCACATTGCTCCAGGCTGATAACTGGAGCTCTACAGCTAGCTGAGGGTTCACACTTGATCTTTGATGAGACCCATTTGGAAGCTGGAACTCTCAACTCTGTCGGGGTTGAAAATGCAAGAGTGCTTAAAACTTTAATGGAGTTGCAAAAGGTGATTCTGTTTTATTATGCATATGCATGTACGTGTATATTTATGTATTACTGCTTAGTGCACTAAGATTGGAAAACTCTGCATGGATTGATCCTTAATAGTAAACAATGCATTCCTGAGAATTTTAATAGAATTTGTGCATCAGGAGATTATTATGTCGTTCATAGCACAGTATTGTGCTAAACACGTGATACATTTAATTTGTGTGTTTCAGGTGGAATATGATTTTAAGTTCTATAAACTGGACATGGCAGCTGACGTCAAAATGCTTATTTTATCTGAAGGCAAATCAAACATTTTGCCTGCTGATATAGTGTTACCTTTCCACCCTTCTTCAGTTGGTTCCTCTGAAGTTGCTGCAGAAGCACTAGAGGCTTGGAGATGGTACTTGGCTACTCTTAGATCATTGCCACATTCTATTGAGCCGGAAATGCAGAAGGTAAGAGTTAGCTTGACATCAACAATTAACCTCTAAACCCGAGCATAATTCTCATGGGTTGATACCTTACAGGTGATAGAAAATGACTTGGTTGCAGCAAGGCAAGAAGATAGGAAACTTGGCACCCAAGATTTTAGCAGGTTAGAGACTGGAAGATTTTCCAAATGTTCTTGTATCTTCTAGTTTTGTTTATCATCTCATCTGAAATTTTCCTTTGCTTGCAGATTGCTCACAATGGGCCGTCTGATGTCTATGAGTTTTGGTGAAACCAGCCTATCATTAGAACATTGGCAGATGGTTAAGGAACTGGAGAGGTTACGAAAAGAGAGGCTCAAGTGAAAGTAAAAAATTACTACTGGGAATTGTTCTAATTATTAACTGGTGTAAATTATAGCCTATGGCTCTAGCAGGCCCCAGGTCAGGAACCTTTTGTAAGAAAACCGGAACCTTTTGTAAGAAAATATTGTGTCATTTAATTATAGTGTGCTGCCAATTCGCATTTTTTGGTTGTTGCCAAATTCACATCAAATTTCAGATTGTTCAAACTGTGGGCCCTTTGTGTTTGGTTACTGACTACCTCTTTAGATTCTCTTTAGTCTTTACATTCGGTAGCCAGGTTTTCCGATTTCTCAAGTTCACCCTTTACCAAATCAACACCAAATAGCTTGTAGCTCAAGTAATTAAGAACAGTTATTCATATAGCGCAGTCTTGTGTTCAAATCTTTGTCTCCCAAACTCTTTAACTTATTGGCTAAAGGTAGCGTGGATTGATATGCTCAGAATCTCAGATGATAATGGCCATTAGTTGCATATTTTCTAAAGAAAAGCTCCCATTAATACACTCATTGATCTAATATTGTCGTAGTTGAACAAAAAAATTAAAAAAAATTGCTGAGAACTTATAAGGAGTTTCCATAGAAATCCACGAAGTATATAATTAAGATGCCAAGTACAAAGTTGCCCCAGCTGGGCTCAGTACCTAGTTAGGTATGGTATGAGTAATAAATCTGCATACCTAACCTTCAAAGATATTAATGTGCATTTTGCTTCAAAACAAACAAAATGCATCTTCAAAATGGACGATTTCTGCGAACTATATAACTCACAATCTCCACCGTTACTATAAATAATATATATATATATATATATATGTAGCAGGCCTTGCGGGTGCCAAATAAGCCACCTCAGCAATAACATTTGCCTCTCTCCTAATCTACCCTGTCTGTCTCCTCCTCCTCTCTCCCCTTTCCCAAGCAATCAAATATTACATATACAAATCACCCTGCGCCATTTCTTCCAGACCTTTTACTGTTTATAAAAAGAGTCTAGAATTGACCGCCCGAAAATGTTTGACCAAACTGCCAGTCAGCTGGCACAGCATTGCTGGTCACAGTTCTACCGTCACTGGTGGTGACTTGGAAAGACAGAGCCTGACCATTGAGGTAAGAGTTACTCTGCCAGTTCTGGCCCCAGTTCCTTGACATGGCTTGCCACCCTGTTTTGGACCCCTTGATTGAAACAGAGTGCACATCCCCTGCACCCCCAACGTTTGTGATCAAAACCAAGTTGAAGTAAGAGTGACCGTTGATGGTGAATCTTATCCCTCCCTTTTTCACACAAGAAACCCTGCACATACCAACACAACCATGTTAAAAATGTCACTAGCTCACAAATAAAATTATTGTATGCCACCGTCACTCTGAAAATTATTCGTGAGTGTCTACATGAACACAACCATGTTGATGTGATTAACTCACAACACAAATAAAACTATTATATGTGACCGTCACATCGAAAATTACTTTTTTTTACCTTCTGAAGGAGATGGGGACAATTCCAGCTCGGTATTGAGCAATTTGTAAGAAGGCAGGCTCAGCCAAATCAAAGTGCTGGAGAGGAGGGTTGCACCAGCCACCATTGTCATTAGACTGAGCTAAGTTAGGAGGGCAGAAGTTTGTGGCGGTGACGATGATGCTGCCGGGGAGGCACCATTTGGGGTCACTGTCACATTTCATCTCATAACAAGACCCACAGCTCAAGCCATCGTTGAACAGAGCTGTGCTGAGAGCTGCAGTGTTGGTTCCATACCCTTGGCTATACAAATTTCCATATCCACAAGCACCTCCTGCAACACCAACATATATGATCTCATCAATTCATGGTAGAAATTTACAGTTTGAGCTACTATCTGCCCTTTTGTACATTTTCGGTTTTACCCAAAAGCTCAAATGACACTAAAGTTTCTAACTTTAACAAAAAAATTACCCCAAAAATGAAGAAAACCAGAAAGAGAAAAGAAAGAAAGTGACTTGGAATGAAATTTACAGCTTGAACTACTATCTGCCCTTGTGTGCATTTTGGGTTTTTACCCAAAAGCTCAAATTACACTAAAGCTTTTAACTTTAACACAAAAATTACCCCAAAGTGAAGAAAAACAGAAAGAGAAAAGAAAAAAAGAGACTTGGAACTTGGTAACTTACCCATTGTGCCAGAGGCATCACCCCCACCATAGAATGTGGCATGACCACCTTCCCATCCTCCTCCATAGTCACCATAAGTGCCTTGAAGACATAGATTGAGAACAGAGAACAGAAGAGCAATGGCTAAGTGTGAGGTAAAAGCCATTGTTGTGTATATTTTTTGTGTTGTAAGAAAGAATGGGAGATAGAGGAGAGAAAGACTTGCTTGACTATTGACTGCAAAGTGGTGAGTGCTTAGCTTTAGGGAATTGGGGTTTTCTTATATAGGCAGTTGAAGGCATTGGTTGGGGACGTTTGGTGGGGGCTGTATACCCAGAAAGAAAGAGACAAGTTTAGCATTGTTCACTTTTCTCAAACCGCTTTCTTCCATCTTGCAAATACTTTATACTTCTCTAAATTAATCTTATTTTACTCAAATCAAATGCCTTGTCTATCTAAACATTACGTGTACAATCTGGCATTTTTTTCATCTCAGTTCATTTGCCTGAGATTGCGGAATTTAGCCCTTCAAACGGGGGTGTGTTTAGGTTCACAAAAGTCCAATCTGGTGGCCTTGTAGAGTGGATCAAAATGAGCATAATTTGTAAAATTATCAACACCCCATTTTAGCAAACTGTTTGCACACTACGATTCATTAATCTCATTACCCTTTTGCTTAATATTTTTTTCTGAAAACCCAAAGGAAAAAAAATAAGAAAGAATCATTTGAAGAATGCAATGAATGAGCAGAAGATTGCTGTGCAGAGGATCAACTAGAGAATCCGACATGAAAATCATTAGCATCTTTATGAGAAGCTCGAACTATCAGTTCCACGTGTGTTTGATGATTTAAAGAGATTGAGAATCTGCTAATATGCTTGATTTGCAAGACATTAGTCAAGTTAATTAAACAACTAAATCTAATTTCTTTCGACAAATAAATCATTTAGAGATGAGTCATCGAATGGTAGGTAAATGCCAAAGAGTAGATAGATTTCTAGAATAATTTGTCGGTTGAAAAATATTAATAAAAAATAAAAAATAAAAACAAAGCAAAGTAAAAAATAAAAAATAAAAAAACATTGTGAAGAAAAGTGTAAATTATATAAAAAAATGATTAGAGTAATTGTCAACCCAAATAGTACACCAACTAGCGTTTGTATATATATAAGTATCACCCATACACTTGTTGTCTCCAATACGACGATTTTAACAAATTTAAAATAAACCAAAAAGATTAGCATGTTACTTGTTGACAATGTAATCGTATCATCAAGATTTATAGAGTGCTTACCTCTTCAATGTTAAGACTGAATACGTCTTAATTTGTTGTTTTTATTGAAGCTTTGAAGCAGTTCAGTTAATACGAAAATTGTCCTTTAAGATAAGATAATCGCGCATATTCAGAATTTACTTTAACAAATTGTATATAATAAGACAATTCTCTTATAAAAAAATTATACTATGTTGTCCTTTTTCTAATCAAGATTTAAATTCATTATAATTTTATATATCTATGTCATTGAAAAATTGGATTTATTTTGATGAAGGACCTACCATGTTAGGAGCACATGCAAGACCCGGGCTCGGCGGTCTATTAATTTCATACATCATTTTCAGATAAATTTGCTGATGCTTTCAGTTCTAAGATATGATAAAATAAAATAAAAAATTGTAAAAAAAAATACAGGACAAATGCATAAATTTAATTGTGAATTTGTAAACTTTAGAGATAGCTCTCATTTTCAAAGTTTTCTTGTTGATAAGAAAAGGGGACGTGACACAACCTCCATCCCATGCTCAATAAGAATTTCACCTCAACATAAATCTTCAAATTTGTCTCTTGTGTAAAGGAATATTATGGAGGTGGATTTCTGGAATCAAAATCTCTACTATTTTTTGAACTCGCACACTTTTCACAAATGTCTGTGTCTTTGTGTGTGTTTTTTTAAATTCATGAGCAAACAAATGACAATGGTCCAAAGTGATTTTGGTGCACCGAATTCGGTGTGAAGTCAAAGTTTGTGGCTTCAATGTGAATTGAGAGAAAACAAAGATAAATATAAATTCTTTCGGGTTGTGTACCAAGACTTTGAAGAACGCTTTTATACTAAAATGGTGATATTCCTGTTGCAATCTAGTTTTTCTTTTTTTTCTCGGTCAAACGGGACGGAGATTGCATGCATACAAACCATAATAATAGCACATAAAAGTAACAATAATTAGAAGAATAATAAAAAGGAAGAATATATTGAAGCAAAATGTGAATGTGAACATAGTTTTTGTTTCATTTATTGCATGTTTTGGCATGGCATTACAAGGCTTGAGCAATCTAAATAATGAAAAGGGGCATGATTTTGATATTTCATATGTATATTTTATTATTGTTAATATGTGTTCTTTGCCTGACCAAAATGTGTGATCCTAAAGTTGCTGAAACCTTCTCTTGTGGACAAGGTTGAAGGGGGTTGAATTGAGATCCACAAAAGGCATGTGGATTTTATCCAAATGTTTGTGAGGGGAGGACCCATGAAATTGGCCTTCACTTGGGGCTGTCTGCTGCTGCTGCTAGCTTTAGACCCATGAAAGTGTCGTCCCAGTTGCATGAAGCTAAAAAGAATGGAATGACCCATTTTTTGGGTCAGTTGGCAAGAACGTTTTGTTTGAGTGGTCGCTTTCTTAGGGTAGTTAATAACATGGTCACCTATAGCAGCCACAACTAGTCCCACATGTATGCCAACTTCCAATATAATGCAAATTCATACTCCAACCATGTGCATTCAAATGGATAACTTGGAGTGTAGGCCATCCCACACCTGGTCACATGTGAGCCATGTTTGGTATTATAAGCTCTTCTTTTATGTTTTATGTAATGTGACTAGCAACACAATGTCACTTCGTACTCTCAGTTCAGTTTCCGACACTCCATATGCTTCGTACTCTCAGTTTAGTTTCTGACACTCCATGTTGTGTACGAGGGTGCCATGAGCTAAATTGAGAGTGCCAAATCCGTTGTCCCAAAATGAGTCGTTCTCTTAACTCTCACCATTGCAGGGCTTTAAAGATTGAGAACAATAACTGCAAAAAATTAATAACACTTTCAAATAGTTTAAAAAAACAAGGGTGATTTTGAAAACTAGATTTCACTTTTTTTAAAACATAAAATGAAATACGTTACTAAACATGTTTTCGGTTTTCAATTGAAATGGTTGTCAAACAAAACAACCCCTAAAATTATCATTAAAAATACGAATCAAGTTAATGTCAAAGCCTAAACCTTAGTGGTTGTTTACATCCAACTCCAAGATTATGAGTATCAATCTTATTTATGTTGTTGTCCGGCCCGGCTCATTACAAATTTTACTTGCAACGACAAAGAAAACCAACAAAATAGGAAGTAAAAAAAATTGTTGCATATTTGTAGGAGCATTGATGAAAAGCCGGCATCTATAATATGATGTGGCAATGGGATTTGAGCTTTGAGGGCCACGCCCTTTTTTTTGTTTCTTGTTTTTTTGTTCTTTTTTAGGGGGGCCTTATCAATCGCAATTTACAATGAAATGTTTCTGAGAGAGAGAGAGAGAGAGAGAGAGAGAGAGTCAATCCACTACATAAAAGTCAAAACCACAATATGAACATAACAACACCGATTTCCACAGTATGACATTTTCAAGGGTTACAAATGAACAGAACACAAAGGAAGGGATAGGGGGGTCCCAGGCATGAAAAGTTGCATCTCTTACAATGCTCTATTCTCACATGAGCAACCCCAAGGAATCAATTAGGAACTGAATAAGCATTCATGAACAGCTTAAGACCTAAAGCAGCTACCAAAAATTTTGGGAGCAATCAATTCAAAGAATCAAAGTCCAATAAACGAGTTTAAACCATACCTTTGGTTGAGGTCAGTCTATGAACAATCCAATAAATAAGGTGGACCTGGGGTAGATCAGCATTCAAAATCTCCTGTTGCTTTCACCAGCAGATATGGAAGGCCCTTCAGGCCTCACTAGATGAGAACCTCTGTTACTGATGTCAAGCCCCTGAAATCGGCCAATCGAATCCTGCTGCAACATATCTGAGCACGCATGTGACTGGGCTGCAGAAAGCATAGGCTGATGGGGAGCTGACATATTTGGCTGGAAAGGATGAAACTGTGGCATGTGAATGTTCTGGGAATCACGCTGCCCCGCTTGTGACTGACTGGGAAAGAAGGGGGATTGCGAATATGGAATTTGGTGCATTCCCATGTTGTATGAATCAGTGTGTGTTAGTACTTCCCCGGTTGCAATCTTGAGCCTCTCAAGTTCTTTCTTCAGTGCATCATTGAGAGCTGTATTAAGGGAAGAGTAGCACAAGAGAATTGGTGGTTAGCAATTGCCATAGAGCTTTGGGGAAAGGTAGCCTTGCCCACTTCAAAGTACAGTTACCAGACATAAACCAAAGGAGAGAACCAAGAACATAATAGCAAACCAATGAATTGGTTGGACTAGTGCGAGAGACCACATCATTAAGCGTACAAAGACCCAAAGGTAGCATTTGTAAAATTTAATACCTAAGGGACTCAATGCATTCTTAACTGATATTAACCACAAATATAGCACTGAACCAGCTAAGACCAGTACCCAGATGATGATTCATTGGTCACTTGTATAACAAGTAAAACACGAAAAATTCAATGAAAGGTGCCTGAAACCATGGAAATAATTCCAAAAGGTGGGTGCATGACACGTACCATCACGTAACTGAGCTTGTTGTTCCATAGCTTGCACCCGAAGCTTAAGCTCTGAGTTCTCAGTAGATAAGCCTGTTGTATCTCTCTGAAAAAATAACACAAAAAAATACAAAACCTCTCAGATAGCAGCCTATGGAAATAAGCAATATGCAGGCAATGAGTTGTAATAAATGACAATCTCTTAAATCAACACCAAGGGTGAAGGACAAACAAGTCCTGATTACAAGTTTTGTAAAAGCTCAAAATAATCTCTTTAGATCATCTCTCTCTCATGTAGCATTCCTATGCCAGATGACCATTCAACTATAATTGCATGAACTACATGACTATAATCAGATGAGGCAAGCAAGATGAGTATTTGAGTAAGAACCTGGAACAGAGTGAGTTGTGCAGATAGGGTAGTAGCTTCTGTTTGTAGGGTCTGAACTTTTCTTTCAAGTTCTGAGATGTACCGGGCCTTCCTCTCTTTTGACCGAGCAGCAGACTGCCGATTTGCCAAAATCCTGTTTTAAAATATGCAATTGGTAAACATTCTTTAGAAACACCCCCATTAATTAAACGTATAGTTAAGATCTAACAGTTAAGAACTTTAATCCGACATACACCAGAGTTTAAGCTGCTGGATTACAACCAAAGGACGAATAAGGTCTTGCATGCTTAAAGCCTTGTCAAGCGTTAGAATTGTTCTCTACTAAGGTCCTCAAGTCAGGTTTCGTATATGGATGGTTGAGAAATATAATGAGTGAGAGGCATCTCAACCATTCATATCTAATATAACGGTTGAAGAGTAAGTCCTCATTTAATGACCATACAAAAGGACTTTGAACGAATAATTAATAGCAATAATATTATAGTTAGAAGTCGTTTTTGTATAAAAAACTTATTCAGATAATGTCCCAACCAAACAGCCTTAAATGTTTGAGAAAGCTGTTGGTCATTTGTTGGCAAATTCGGGAACAACGAATAGCAGTTATCTTTAAGAGCCTTAGGCAAGATCTTGCGTGTATCATTCTGATATGCAATTCTTATCTGATAGATTATTTTATGCGAATTCATAATTTGGAAAATGCCTCTTCTACCAGTTGTTTTTCCACTAGGAACAACAGCACATTTAATTGTTGCCTCCTAAGCTAAATTATCGAAAACTAAATGGGTCACTTAAGACAGATAATAATGCTTCTTCAGCATCATAATTACAGTTTCGAATGACAATTTAATTTTCCTAAAGAAAATAAAATAAATTTTGGGTTGGAGCGTTACTTCTATGGCAGAGAGCAGAGCACCCACACATTCATATTCGACATATGATAAGCAAACACAAATCCCTCCAAAAAAAATATATTCTTTTTTAATACCAGTTTCTAAGCTGATAATATCCAGCTAAAAAATCAACCACAACGAACAATATGCAAAAGTTTGAGTCACAATACACAAAATGAACGAACAAACATACGCAAACAGATGCATAATGTGATAGAAGCGGATAGAAGAATACCTCTTAGCTCGTTTTGGGTCGACAGTCCAGAGCTCGGCGAGCTTATCAGGAGCCATGGCCTTCTTGGCCTCTATGCTGTCCAAAGACGCGTCAACCGAGTTGCTATGCCGGTGCCTTGGCCTCGCACTCATCTCTCCACCAAGCTCGACACCTGTCTCCGTGGAGCCTCCGGGATTCTCGAGTTTTGGGTCGGAGGGTCCATCGTCGAGCTTGGATCCGAGCTTCTCGATGTCCATGTAGGTGCAGAAGAGGTCGTCCTCGGAGCCGCCCAGCTCCTCGAAGCTGCCGGATGGGCCGTCGAACGGGTCCTGGAGCAGATCCAGGTCGTCGGGGATCCGGAATTGGACTTCGGATTGGGCTCGACGGTGGTAGGAGCCCCGGAACGAAAGGCTGGGACTTGGGTCCGGAAACGGCGTCGTCATGCGTGGCCTCTGAGAGGCCTGAGAGCTAGAGCTCGGATCCGGTTTCGGGTTCGCCGGATCTTGCATTTTTATTCGACTCTGGAGCTCCCTGCTGTCTGCCTCTCTTTTTTCTCTCTCCTCGTGTCCGAAACTAGTTGTGTTGACAGTGAGTGTTCCTCACTCCTCCAGGACCAGATTAAGTTGGATGGACGTTTAGGAGCGAAAAATGAGAAACCACGTTACACGGCGCCGTTTCTGTGTGGACCGACCGAGGTTGGATAGTCAATTGAGATTATGGATTGGGCTTAATGTTTAAGATCTTCTATTTACGATTGTGGCCCAATGTGTTCTATGATTGGGCTTAAGGCTAGTTTGTTACACCGAACTGGACTCGGTGTCAGTGGTACTTTTTTCTTCCCAACGTTGGAAGATTTCCCGAGTTTGAATGCGAGAGGCGGAGACAAAGCATGAGACAAGTGTGCAATATTGGAGAGATGAATGGTGACCACATTGTTGTAAAGTTTTGTACATTTGAAGTTACAAATCCTTGTGTGTCATATGCTATATATGAATATGGAAAGCAAAGCCGTGGTAACAATTGAGGGTTTTGAGTAGGCTCCTCCTCCTTTCCTACATCATCAAGTATAAATGTCAATAGTCTGCGATGGCCATGTTAGGTTGTCTTGGCTGCAGGCAAACATCTTGGTTCAAAGCACCGTTTGGGTTCTTTTTATCAGCCACAAAAAGGACCATGCGAGGCAGAGAAGAGAACTAAGCTTATGCAGATGTGTTGGTTGAAGCTGTTCCACTCCACATCACATGTTGTTCACCCAATTAATGAAGCTGGTGATGAATTGGAGACCAAGGTTAGCAAAGTTGGTGAGGGCATTAACATGTTCCTTGTACATCTGATGTAACTTGTATGGAGCTAGTCAATCCAAGCAGACAGACAGGTGTCTTGCTCTGGAACTTTGAGGGTCCATTGGACGTTTTGACTGGACATTTGTGGGCCCATCTCTTCATCAATCACGGTATAGAAAGAGCCACATGAATTGAATGTGCCGTCACAAGTAACTTAGGAAGATAATTTAACATGTCCCTGTCAAAATAGAAGGAAGAAGGGAATCAAATTGGCAAACCGCATTCATTTTGAATACGGAAAATAACAAGGTTTCCACAAATTTGGACTTGACAGAAAAGACTAGAGAATGATATTTGTGGCTGATTTTTTCTCTCTCTTAACAGTTACTGTGGTGATTTTTACTACATGGGTAAAAACAAAGTAAGTTACTTAGTCAAAAATTAATGGTTTTCGTGACAAAAAGAATAGATGCATGTGAATATGTCAATGGCTATAATTTAAGTTCCAATTCTTCCTGTTAGAATGATGCTTGAAAACTTGCAAAAAGTTTAACATGGGATGGGAGCAAATCATAGTCTTGTATCAAATATTAATCAATTAATGAATCAGAAATGGTG